TGATAAAGTACATGCTGCGGTACATACAGAAATGCTCCAGAAGTACTTGGCAAGCCGAGATATTTTGTATTGACATAAATAGCAGGCTGCTGTACAGAGGTGAAGAAAGGCCCTTTGTGGACTCGGACGGGGGAAAATGCATGTCCTTCCCACCTGGATGGTCATCAGTACCGTCTTGTTCATGAAAACTGTATGATTTATCAGCCGAGCGGAATATCAAGCTGGGGAGGCGTGGAGGTTTTGCTTAGGTGATGGATCAACAAGTGTACAAGAAAGGGGTCGAGAGAGAATACTGTGATGAACAGAGTGGCGCTGGACTTTGCACGGTAAGGTGTGCACCATGTTACCGTGTATACCTTAATAAAAATACCCAGTGGAGTCAGCCATTCAAGTCCATTTTAGGAATCAATGAGAAGACCTAGCATGATAGAGAACAGAAGGCGGCTTAATTTGACAAAAGCATATGAAGAAGGAACACAGCATTGGAGCGAGGCACATGAAAGGCGGGATATGCATAGCATTTGCCTTTGCTAAAATAAAATACATGTCTGATTCTTCTCAGCAGACTAGTCTTACCCCTTTGTAGCTTATCCTGCTATCCTGGGTTTAAATGTGGTCCTATGATTATATAAACATGCGTGCTATAACGTACCTAATGGTGATTTAAAGTCTGTGTGAGGGAAAAAGGCATAACTTTCCCATAGCGAAAACATATACGCAAACCCCCTAACTATAGGTTTAAAATAGCAAACACCAAAATATTTTTTTCATAGGACAGAATTAGAAACCATGGGGAGTGGCTATGCATTTTACAAATGTATTATGTGTACACACATTTCCCAGCTGATCGCACGCTTTAGAATTCCGCAAAGATGTTTGCAGGAAAAGGCGTTCCGTCTGCTTCATGCAGCATATGGCAGGATCATTTCGATTTTCTTTAGAATGGAGAGCGCAGAGATGGACTGTCCCCAGCTTATGTATTTTTGAAAAGAAAAATAAGCCAAGCACTCTGGAAAGTTGGATGCAACATCAATATAAAAGATTCTGTGCGCGTGTGTTCCAGCTGTCAGAAAAGGCAGCGTCTGTGGTTTTTTAGCCGGGGGATATGTCCCCTTTCCTGGGGAAGAAAACTGGGTTAAGTCACTACCAGTCTCTTCTCTTGCCACATCAGGAGTTTATAAGCTGGTGCAAGAGAAAACAGAGTACTGATTACTTGTTGTTAACCATCTAGAGAGCTTTGGCAATGGGTGGTATAGAAAGGAAGTGCAGAATTAATAATTACTCAGCAGCAACAAGGATGTGACACAATTAGAGGCCATGCCAAAGTTGGCTATAGCAAAATGCAGACCAAATTATTTTAATATACAAACTAGGGAATTGTCACTTAGACATCTGAATGTGCATGCTGGTGCTTTTCTGAGCTGCAGTGTAGGACTTATATTATTGAAACTCTATTTTGTTTGAAAAAGTTGGGTGTACTTTAGTTTCAATGATATGCCTGTCGTTAAATTGTGGCCCAAGCAAGCTTAATCATAATATATATAGCCGTGCCTAAAAACTCAGTACACAGGGAGGTAGTTCTGCTGATTGCCTCCCCATTCCCTCATTTAATAGTTCAAAGTAAACCTCTGGTCCAAGGGGGTTCCACAAGAGCAGTGGGGCAGCAGTTTTGAATACAGGGATGGTTGCGTGTATTAAAATTATAGGGTTGTTATCCTTCTGATACACCTGTATACAAACATTTTCCGTTTGTGGGGCACTTCCTCTGACCGGCATATCCAAATATTATACTGAAGCGCTGTCTCCCTGCCCAAGAGCCATCAATACCAGTGTTCTAAATACTTCAGTGGTCTCCCCTTTGTTGCATTCCCTCAGGCTTCTCCAGAAAATAGCACTACAAAATGTTTGCTATTCAGGCTTCCCAGGTCTTCGGTATCTTTAAGAGATATATATCCATAGCCATTTGAAGGCAAAATGTTCAGGCAAATGGGGTTGCTATTCTGACCTATCCCATTTTTGCTGAGCACCCGCACCATCCTAAATCCTGGGATTCCCTCTGTACAAACACACGCATGCCTCCTCTGAATGGTCATCTGGCCCTGACATATAACTGAGAACCCATAATTTCCCCCGCACAAATGTCTCGAATAGGGTTCTGCCGGAGTGGCATCTTCTTTTATTAGAAGGTATTCCAATCCTAGCAAGTTATTTACATATGGTCAAACTTTTTGTGGAACACAGGTCTGTATTCGCCTACCTCTGTCAGAGCCATTTGTAACAGACTTTTCTTTTTCCCTTCATCAGGCCAATAACTAGATAATGTGAACCCCTCGGTTAGCATATATGGGATATTGTGAAGAACTGGCTCTCTTTCCCTCTCAAATACATAACTCCAGAACACAACCCAAATTTAGGCTTTAGACTGAAGCTGAAGAAATTTGAAACACACCACATAAACTCCTTGAATTCCTCCTTAATGAATCTGGACTATCACTTCCCCATCAAGCATTCACAATAAAATAAAACGGATAAAGATCACTGCCTTCTCCCTTTCTCCTCATTGCACATGAGATCCAAATGACATTAATGTGTGCTTAATTCGCTTTAAGTGAGCTCAGATGTATGCTTTTCTACTCCGCTTCAACTTCCTCCTTCTGCTTCTGAACATACACTCGCTGCCTGCTCTCCTTAAAACCCACGGATACAGTTCAAATGCATCCTCTTTCCTGCTTTGATTGTGACATGTCAGCATCAAACCCGGAATCACTTCTGCAGCCTCCAGAAAAGCACTTTCCCACCTCAATCAAGAGAGTCCTGTAAACACTCATAAACACACCTATCAGATGAACCTGCCCTTTTCCCATTTAAAGTCAATATGCTAAGCATCATAAGTAGGGGGTGGCTGACTCACCTTTTAGGGGTGGAACACCTGTTGTAGCTCATATTTGCATACAGAGTATTTGAGATTTAATCCCTGATATTCCCAGGCGGAAAGATCCCTGGGCTAGGAAGAATCACAGTCCAAGACTCTGGAGAACTGAGATCAGTCAAGAAGAGGCCTAGGGGACATGACTTTTGCTCTGGATGTGAGAGTTTCTAGTTTCAATTCTCAGAGAAGATCTTATTCCTGGGGAAAGAGGGCCCAGGCTTTTGGGACAAGGTGTTTCAGAGGCAGAAGATCCCCTTCCATCTACAGTGAAAAGGATCAGGTGGCAGATGATGGGAAAAGCTTTTGCTTGCGACCCTAGGAAGCTGCTTCCAGTCTGAGTAGCACTATAGGGCTAGCAGGAGCGACTCTTTGCCTCTGCTTCTTAACGCCCATAGGTGCATTCGTACACGATAGGACATGCCTGGAATGCTCATAGGGATAAACGCATGAGAAACGGCCTCAAATGTTCCACCCCGCCCCACCCTGCTGGCACGGGACATGTGCTACGATAGCAGAGTCACATCCGACCTGGCCCTTGGGTACTTGCAAGGCGAAAGTCCCTCACAAGGACTCTTGAAGCAAGTGCCAACCTCAGAAAGCCACAGGGGGCATTCATCCAGACTTGTATGTAGCCTGTATCCCAAGGCTGTTTACAAATTAAGGCAAAACATTATGTTGCATTACTATAAAAGTAACAAATGAACTGTCCTTTTTGGTCTGCATACGGACCAGCAATGGGCAGGCTAGGACGTGGATGGGGGGGAGGTCCTACTGGGAGCTGCCAAGGTCAGATGTTCTTCTGACCTCCTCCCAAACCAGCTCCATTTAAAGACACAGCCCCCCCACCCCGTCCATTTACTCAGAGGGTAAATCACAGCAGAGCGCTTCTTGGGGCGTACTCCCAGGAGTGTACATAAAATTGCAGCCTGTGTTGATTTAAAACAGGAAGGGCAGGGGAATGCCTGGGTTGAAATCCCCACCCTGGCCCACTGAATAAGAGCAAAGCAGTCCCTGTTCTCTCTAGCCTCAACCTACCTCAAAGGGTTGTTGTAAGGAAAGAGGAAGGTACTCTGCCCTGGACTATCTGTGGGGCACCATACAAGCTTGACACTGATTACTTATCTTACTACTCTTATTATTATTACTGTAACTTTCATTAGTGCTTACTCCCAGGTGCACCAAACATCAGCTTATGTTGATAAAGGAAGAAGGAAGTAAAAGAAGAAGAAATCTTCACCCCAGCCAGAACTTCAGAGGATGAGCCTGAGACAATCACGCACTCTTTGTAAGCCTTTGCCTACCTCACAGGGCTGTTAGGGAGAGAGGAGAAGGGACTCCTCCTTCCAAGCTCTTTGAAGAGCAAAATTTGGGCAGGAGACGACTGCCTATTCCAACTACTATGACAACAACTACTACTGTTCTATTGCTATTATACCGTTTTTGCTATTACTACTACTACTAGTAGTACAATTAATACTAAAACTACTATTACTACTATCAGTGCCATTATTACTATAACAATGATTAATATCCCCATTATAGGCTACTACCTTTATTAATACTGCAGCTAACACTAGTGAGAGCCGGCTTGGTTAGGCTGCTGGTCCGGGGTTCGAGTCCCTATTCGGCCGTCAAGTTCACTGCATGACTTTGGGCCAGTCGCTGACTCTCAGCCTGGCCTACCTCTCAGGGCTGCTGTGATGCCAGTACGGAGCGGAGGGCGGCGTCAGCCACCCTTAGCCCCCCGCAAAGGGGGGGAGAAGGTGGGATCGCCATGCAATATCATAACACATTGCCACGGGACGGTGCCGCGCAGCAGTTGGAGCGTCGGGCAGGCGCCGGCGAGATGCGGGCTCGGGCTCCCCCAGCCGCCCTCGGGGCACTCCCGGCCGCCAGCCCGGCCTACCTCGCAGGGTCGCTGTTGGCCAGGCACGAGGGAGGGGAGAGCCGCCTTGGCTGGCTCCCAGGAGCAAGGAGGGCGCGCTCGGCGCCGCTCGCCCTCTCCCGCTCCTGCAGCAGCCGCTCCGGCCACGGGGCGCGACCGACCGACCCGCCCGCCCGCCGCGCTTACTTTGTAGGTGCTCTCGGTCAGCTTGTTCATTTCCTCGGGGTCCCGGGACATGGCGGCGGCGGCGGCGGCGGCGGCGGGACCGCACGGGACGCGGCGGGACGGGACGCGACGGGGCGCGGGCTGGGGCGCCGCTCTCGGCCGGCACGTCCGCCCTCCCGACGCGAGGCTGCGGCGCCGACCTGCGCCTGCTCTCCGGGCCGCTGGAGCGCGCCTGCCTGCCCGCCTGCCCGCCTGCGCCGCCTGCGCCGAACTGTCAGAAGTTGCGGAACCGGCCCGCTCGCGGCGCACGCCTCGCCTCCTCGCCTCCCTCGCCCCGCGCG